AAGAGTCGTCGTTTCCTAACCATGGTTTTATATGATCGGCGGCGGTTGAGGTTTCGTTTGGTCCTTCATGGTCGCCAATTTTTTTGACTACATATCGGTCGTTACGCAAAGCTTTTATAATTTGATAAGGTCCTAAAAATTTCGATGCACATTTCAATCCTGTTCCCTTCTGTGTTCTCTTAATTGCTACTAAGTCATCCTCGCGATACTGTTTCGTTTTTTTACGACGCTTATTATAATTTCGTTTATTTTTTCCTGTGTGCGTTTTATACATTCTCGCGCCTGCTCTCTCAACTCATCTCGATCATTGCTAAACTCGCTCCATTTCTTCTTCGATTAACTCTCTCAATTGGGGATTATCTCTCAGTCTTATATGCGTACCAAACATTAATTGAAAAAGGGGTTTTACCCGTGCTTCGACTTGGTACCGCATTTATATATTGTTGGGTTTTATTTAGATATTTATGCCACTCGCCCGCCCTCGGAGCGGCTAACTTTGTCAACACCGGTATCAATGTTCGATTTATCTCTCTACTTGCCCGTTCGCTCGAGGAACGCCCGTCGTTATCCGTATATGCTCGATATTTTCTTTTTTACAATATTCGTTAAATTCATTGGACGTAAAGGCAGTTCCTCGATCCGAAATAATTCTCCTCGGGTTTCCAAAGTTAACAGCTAATTTCTCTAATTTATCTATTACTTCTGCTGTGCCGGTCGATCGCGTTCCGAAAAAACCACAAATTTAGAGAATGCATCTACAATGACAAGAATATGATGATATCTTTTTTTTTGTCGAAGGAAGCGGTCCCAAATGATCGATATGATATGTTTCGAGAGGTACATGACCTTTCGGTATCGGATTTAGGTAGCCGTCCAATTTACCTGTTTTTCTATTCGCTAGAATACAGTTTACACAATTTCGCATTATTTTTTCAACTACTTTACGCATATTAGGAAACCAATAATTTTGTCTAATTAATGCCTCAGTTTTTTCTGCCGCAAAGTGACCTTTTCGTGTGCTTGTCGAGCTACCTGAGCTTGTAAGCTTTTTGGCACAATCAATTGTAGATCTCCTTCTTTTCTTTATATAACAGCCCGCCTCTCACTACATAGCCGTCTCTTTCTCCTTTATTTGCTAACGAATAAATATCTCGCAAATTTATGTCCTCTTTTTGAGCTTTACGAATTCTTACATCATACTCTCCTCCGATTCGCTTATTAGCATATTATGCGGTAACGGGTTTCGACTTAAGGTATCTACATGAATCATATTTTTACCCGGACGATGCGCAATACAATAGTCGAACTCTTCCAACAACAAAGCCCATCTAGCAACGCGAACACACAGATCTTTTTTATTCATTGTCAAAGCGAATGCTTGACAATCAGTAACAAATTTAAACTTAATTCCCAGTAAATAAACTCTAAATTTTCGCAGTGCCTTTATTATCGCTAAAGTTTCTAACTCATAACTTGTATATTTCATTCAGTATCCGTGTTTTTCCGCTCGCGTAGTAAATCGGATGTAAAGCACCATCGTCATCGCATTTTTGAAATAATATAGCACCGAAACCGTACATTGATGCGTCGGTGTGCAATTCTGTTTCCGCTTTTTGCTTATACAACTCAACACTGGGTTCTCGCTCAATATTAGTTTCAATTTATCAAAGGCCTCCTTTTCTTTCGCACCGAACTCGAATTTTACATTCATTTTTAATAAATTACTCAAAGGTCTGGCTATCCGCGCATAATTGTTAATAAATTTCGAAAATATCCGGTTAGTCCAAAAAAACTTTGTACTTGTTTTATGTTTTCGGTTGTGAATATCTTATCACGGCTTCCGTCTTATGTTCTGTCGGTCGCATCGAACCGTTTTCAATAATTACACCCAAAAATTCGACTCTAGTCTGTTAAAATTTACATTTTTTCCAATTGATATTTAATCCGAATCTCTCGGCAACGCCCAACACTTTCTCAAGACCTGACAACGCGGCTTCAAAATCCGTAGATGGAATAATCAGATCATCCACATATGTCAAAACCACGCCGCCCCTGATTAGCTCTCGAAAGGTCTGGTTTATGAATCTCTGAAATACTGCCGGAGAATTGCACAAACCGAAAGGCGCGTAGAGAAACTCGTATTGTCCGTCTGGCACTACGAAGGAGGTATACTTTCTACTCTCCTTTTCCATCGGCACATGAAAAAATCCGTTTTTTAAGTCGATCGTACTAAATATTGACGCCCCTTGTAATGCATCTAATTGATCGTCAATTAATGGAGTGGGTAACGATCCTTTATTATTTTCTTATTTAGTTGTCGATAATCGAAACAACCTAGTCTTCCCGTCCCCTTTTTAACTAGAACTACCGGGACTCGCGTATTCTGAAAGTGAGGGTTGAATTATACCTTGTCTAACCATTCGTTTATGTGTGCGGTAACCTTTTCTTTTTCCGACGGAGATAAACGTCTAGGCCTCTGATAAACCGGTTCGTCATCACGAAGTATAATAGTCATTTTATATTCCGTCTCGCATTTTCTGGTAGGATTATATTATTGATCATGTCGCTTAATTTATTTTCATTCTCGCTCGTCAAATGTGATAAATCGGTATCGCTAGACTCGCTCTGTAATTCGATTTTAAATATTTCGGTAACTTTTCTGCCGCTCGAATCTCTGCGCGAGGTTTTCGCATCGTAATTTTTCCTTCTTCGACATACAAATTAATTCGGTCTAATAAATCAGTCCCTATGAGTAAGTCATACTGCAGCAATTCATTCGGTACTACCGATAGACTGGTTAAAAAACGTTCATCGTCAATTTCTACTTCGGTATCAAAACGTCCTTTAGTTTTAAAATTCTGTGTGCCTATACCACGAAACACATTTCTTGATGGGTCAAATTCGGTGACCCTATTTTTATATATTGTTCTTCGCGAATTAATGATAAATCACTTCCCGTGTCAATCAAAGCTACTATATTCTCGTTATTTATTTTTACGTTTTAAATATTTTCGTTCCGTTTCGTAATATCGTGCATACTTTTTATTTCGTTAATTCTAGTTTTTTTTTCGCAATTTGCTGCAATATGTCCAAACTCACATACATTCAAAACATCGCGTACCTTTGCTTTTGACGGACAATTCGCTGCACGATGTCCCTGCGCTCCGCAATTATGGCATCGCATCGCATTCCTTGTCGCCCCTGACTCTTCTCGCTCGGCACGTCCTGGACACGCCGTCCCTCTCATTCCTCGCGCTCCCGACTGCTCTTCCCTCGCAGCGATACCCTCTCGAACGCCTCAATTAGCGACCTTCTAGTACGCAGCCGCTGTACTCGTGCTTGGTCTCGTAAGACTGGATCCGGAATCCCTTCGATGACATATTCGACCATCTCGCTTTCCTCAATTTTAATTCGATTTCCAAGAATCACCTTCTGATGTAGGTACTCATTGAATGTCTCCTCTCTTCGCCAAATACGCTGCTCAAACTGCTTTCTCACATGCACTCTTCCCGGCTCATGGAAAAACATATTTTTAACTCGTTTAACAGCTCGTCGACGGTAATCTCGGTATACGTGGGCTAGAATGCAACCATTCTTGTGCTTTGCCCTTCAGGCGTGCTCCGATCAGGATTCTCGTCAGTCGTCGGTCAAGTTGTAAGCGCCTCTCAATGATTCGACACGCTTCTTCCAGGATTCGAATGCGCTGCTGTCGCCCTCAAAATATCCAACAGGCTTGCAATTGCGTTTATGTGGTTACGCCTGCTTCGTGAGAGATCGTCGGACTCCTTGCAGCCACCTCATTTCTCAATTCTCCTCCTCAGTATTCACATTTTGGGTGCGTCTCAACAAATCGTTTCTTGTCGCATCAATCGCAGCTCGCGCTCCATCAATCGTTTTTCTCTTTCACAAAGTTCCATTGACCGTCGCAGATACTCAACCTCAGTATCATGTATGCTCGATTCGTCCACTTCACCGCTCCTTCGTTCCTCTCGTCTCTATCGTCTCTCTCACCCCGTCCTGCTCCTCCTCATTCGTCACTCGCAACATCCAACTGCCCGCTTGTCTTCTTCAAAAAGTCTGGCAATCAACTCGTGCTTCGCGCCAGTTATCGTCAAGCCTTCTCTCGCAGTATTTCTCTTAGTCGTTGACGGTAAATCTATTCGCACCTCTCTCAGCGTGCGCCATTGAAAATCGGTACTCGTCCAATTCCCTACTTCAAGCTGCAACCGCTCGCAGTCCCACGCAGCGTCAACTCGCGTCAATCCCGGACGAGCCCCAAAATTGTAGGACTTTTTTAGACGAACGGTATCAAATGAAAATTTTTAAGTCTTATAAAATAAAAAATATTCAATAGAAATTACAAGAGAATTCAGTAATTATTCGGTGATGTTCACGGTAACGAAATCGAGCGAGGACTGTCTAACTTCTTTCTCCTCGACAGCCCATTGCCTGTATTTATATCCCTTTTGTCGGTTCTAGACTGTTCTTCAATTTTCAGTTAGTTCCCTAACTGCTGCCCTGTCAAGGCAATCCTAACTTATTTATAAACAAAGTCATGCGACTGACTCACTTTGCCTTGTTCGTGTCCTTATTATTGTAAAGAGTTTGTCTCTCGCAAATAACAAGTGAGACAAATATTATCGTTCGCTTATACACAAATCATTCGCTCGATATAATTATATTCTCAAATAATCCCAATCCTACAATATTAATCAGAAAAACTCTTAAAATTCTTCCAATACCATGTATTGTCCCACGATTACCTCTTATCCAGAACCCTTTAAGAAATCAAGGATCTGTTTCAACATAGTCGAATCAGTTTCAAACTATAAGAATACATAGACTTCTGATAGTCATAGAATTTTGTTTGCTCGTCTATTTTGGTCGCAAACTGATGTTGGACTCGTCTTTTATTTCTCTCAGAAAATATAGTCATCGTAGCGATAAGTGACTAAAATGTCTGGTGGTATTGATTGAAATACGTGTCTTGTATTCTGCAGAGGAGTGGTTTGCAGTCCGCGATACCGTGGAGCAACTACTTGCCGGGGGTCGTCGGGGGGTCGCACCGACGCATCCTCCAAGCAGGAGTCACGGGGCACCGCCGGTCTTGGGGCCGCATCCCGCTGCAAGTCATCGAGGTCACTCGGGTCATCCGAGCGGTACCCGGGCGGGGCTCCGGCCGCCGCCGCGCACGTAGCCAACTGCAACTTGAGTATATCTCAGCAACGGGAGCGCGAGGAGCGAGAGATCCGGGAGATCCGCGAGCGGGAGACCGAGAAGCAGCAACAGCGCTCGGGGATCGAAGCCAGGGATCACATGCGGGATCACATGGCCGCGCACCACAGAGCCACCTACTACACGCTCACGGGTCACGCGAATGTACCTACACAGGTACTATTTTTACCTCATCTTCTGGGAATAAAGTTTTTTTAATTTTTGTCGACGTTGTTAATTATTTAGTGACAACGTGAACATTAAACATTTATTTTGGAATAATACTTTGCTGAATCATGTATATCATGTTTTTCTATCAATGTTTCTTTTCAGGTGCCGCGACCCTCGAGCGTGCCCGGAAAGGTCGACTACCCGCCTCCGCCGGCGCACACGCGGTTGACGAAGCCGCCAGGTGCTCTTCACGAGAAATCATCCACTGTAGTTGGCTCGTCGCACAGCTCATTACCGAAAGCCGAGCCGAACGTGAACCTGTTCAATTATTCGTCGACGTACCAGCCGTCCTGTCCGACGTACCTGCCGCCGCACGATCTGAAGAACGAGCTGCGACAGTCGTCGTCAAAGTCTCAGCCGGGCAAGAGCGGGCTCGCCGGCGACCACGAGAGGGACCACCACGGCAGAGAGGTGCTGCAGAACCCGCCGTCACTGCTGCCGGATCACAAGAGCTCGGTGATTGTGAAGAACGAGGGCAGGGAACTGGCGAAAGCGCCGACGCCGCAGCAGCTCGCCCCGATGAACGCGAGAAGCTACTTGCCTCTTCAACCAATGCCGCACAAGTCATACGAGCCGCCATTCAGGAGTTTGACGCAGAGCCCGCACCATCTGCATCCCGCGCATCCTATGGAAAGTCTACAGGCGGCGAAGAGCATCGTCTCGTCGGCGAGTCATCATCGGGGCGGTAGCGGCGCGCCGACGACGACGACGACGACGCAGCAGCAACTGCCGAGTCCGCACAGCCATCCGCCACCGCCGCCAGCGCCTCCCGAACCGCGTCTGCATTCGCATAATCCCCGTCAATCCCCGCACGCCCTGCCGTCGCAGCATCCGCATCAACCACCCCCGCCGCCGCATCCTTCGCCACCCGAACCGCGCTATCTCAACAGGTCGGAAGCAGCGGGTCTGCCGTACGGCGCGGCCAAGTCCACGTATTCGTACCCGCATCCGCCCACGGCCTCGCCGACGCCGTCGTCGCACTACACCACGCCGCCGCCGGCCGGCTCTAAGCCGAAAGTCAGCAGCCCGGCGCCGCCGCACATTTACGGCAAGCCTAACTCCGGTATCATGACCGGCACGCCGGTCTGCCGTGCCTCCGAGCCGCCCGTCGCCGCACCGATACCATTGACCTCGAAGGCCGGCAGTTCGCCTTACCAGCAAGTGCCTCATCATCACGGGGCGCCGCCGCCGCCGTTGCCGCCGCCCGCGCATAGCCGGCCGCCGATTTACGACGGTCGCTACGTCGGCTCGTTGGCGAGCGCAAAACTGCCGCCACCGCCGTTACACGGTTCTCCACCAACGGCCGCCTCGGCGCCGCTTTCGAGGCCGATCGCCCACCCGCTCATCCCGCTCATCTCAGTACCAGTCCGCATCAGCAGTCAGGTCAGACGTTGCAGCACGCGCAGTCCCAGATCACTACGGCCTTCCAGACGCAACCGCTCGACCTCGGTGTGGAGAGATCGGGCTCGCCCAAGAGGAAAGCGCCGACGCCATTGTGCGACGGTAACAGTCAGCCGGTGTCGTTGGAAGTCTTCAAGAAGAGAAGAACCGAGGAACCGCAACCATTGTCCTTGCAATGCGTCGGCCAACCCGTTCTGTCGAGGGTGAGCGAACCAAGTCCGCTCATTGCCTCGGCCGCCACGTCCATCACCACGGTCGTCAATACCGCGGCGTTGCTGGCACAGTCGAATAGTCAAACGACGCAGGAGCAACGCACGGTGACGGCTGTGAGCCTGGCACCAGGCGCCGCTAGCGGTGACGGTTCCACGCGACCCGCCAGCACCGGTAGCGTTTGCTCGCTGAACCCCGCGCCATTGAGCGCTGCACCTAGCCCAGCACCTATACCCAGTCCGGCGCCATCTACAGCTCCCAGTCCGGCGCCCAGCGCGCCCGGCACTCCCGCCAAAGTAAACCCTAGTACCGGGGCGGACAGCGAGAAGTCCAACAGTCCGGCACCGAGGCCGCCTAGCAGTACTAGTTATCCGGGGCACAAGTTGAAGAAGGCGTGGCTGCAGAGACACTCGAGATGCGAGGACGGCACCGAGAATATCAGCAATATGGTCAGCAGTGTCACGTTACCCTTGAATATCTCCAGGGAGACGCCGTCGTCGAACAGCAAGGATCGCGACAGCAGCAACACGTCGAATGCGAACAACAGCAACGCGCCGACCACCTGCTTACCTAGTGCGGTTAATTCGATTCACAATATTGGTAGCATGGCGGTGAATAGCATTCAAAAGAGCAAGGTCACCGGCAAGAGTGGTCGGAAACCAGCGAACAAGGAGTCGCTGAACGGTCACGCCACGGACACTAGCAAAACCCCGCAAGAGGACTCGTCCAGCAGCGACCCGGAGAGGAAGTCGCCGCCAAAACGAAAGCCACCCAAGGTATCTATCTATACAAATCGTTTACGGTGGCCATTGTAGTTGTCGCTGAAAATTACTCTTGTTCTTAATTGCGTGTGTTGTGTGTTGCTTATTCGCTTGCCTAGAAATTTGTCAAGAAACTGTTGTTGTCGTTGAAACTCTCTTATCAGTTGAAAATGCACGTAAATTTCTAATAATAGATATGTAAGGATGAGGCACGAAAATTCATTCTCGAACTGATGTTATTCAATTTTCTTTTTGATTCACTGAAAAATGGTTGATTTGTGAAGAGATTGTATCTCTATCAGATATGATGTACGTTTTATAAATGTTGGATTTAAATCTATTTAACAACATATTATTGAGAAAAATTTTTTAAATATATTTATATTAATTTATATTTTATATATTTTCTCAATAATTGTCTTAATATATGAACTGTAATATATTTAAAGATTTTTCAATTAGTACTTTGTCATGAGTGAATAACTATAAACGTGATTATTATAATCACGAGTATTTGAAATTACTTAGCGCTAATCATTTGTTTAATAATTTGTTGGAATCGATAAAATTCGTATTTATGAGTTGTAGCAATAAAACGTGCCTTAAAGCTCATTAGTAGATATCATAGAAGCATGAATAAACAGTAGTTTGATTTGCTATGCTGCAATTTTTAACTTAGACTGTCGTGTAAGACATACTTGATTATTAAACATTTTTTATTTTGCAATTTTGAAAAAAAATTCATATTAATAATTATATGATTCAAATTATAAATTCGATTTTTTTTGCACTTTTGTTAAAATTTTATTTGCATTCATCATAGGATTAAATTCGCAATTAAAATATCATGTTAAATTAACTCACAATTAGATTTGCTCGAACATTTCTTTTATCTTATGTATTTGATGAATTTTTAATATAAAGTAATATCACGGGTCAACAAATTTTATATTAGAATTTAATAAAATTTTATTTAAAATACAGTTTATTAAAAATGTTTGAAAAAGTACAATTCTAAAATGAATATAACAAAATTTTTCAGAATTAAAAAAGTTTTATTAAATTCCAGTATGAGAAAGTATTTCTTTTCAATTTTTGTTGGAAGAAATCACATTAAAATTTTGACATTTTAAATAGCAAAAATATATTAATTAATGAATATATTTATTATATTAAATATTTTATTATATTATTATATTATTTTTTTCTCTCTAAATCACTAATTTAAAAAAATTTTAAAAAACTTTATAATCTGGTGTGAGTAATTTGGACATTATTTTTTAAAGCTAATAAAAATCTATAAAAAACACCTACTCTTATTCGAATTACACATTTTTTCGTCGACTTGTATTTAATATTTTAAAACAATAATATTTAAATGGAATATTCGAGAGAAAGAAAATTAGTAGAAAAATTCCTAAACTGTTACACAAATATACATATATATTTCGAGTTGTGTCTATACTTTATCGTTGGTGACATTGCTTATGGAGTATTTCAAATTTTTTTCGCAAGTTTCTCTCTCGAGCGGTAAACAATTATTCCGAGTCAGTACCGGCTTTAGGGTAGGGCGCAGTGGGGCGACTGCCCGGGGCGCCGGATCTGTAGGGGCGCTGCTGCCCGGTGCCCCATAGAGTCCCTCTAATAAGATGTCGCGACTCTTATTAGAGGAACTCTAATGCCCCTAGTATGCAAAAGTACCTATATCTCCTCACTGTGTTATACCCTGACATGCTCTCTATACTTTTGTATATCTTTTGATTCTTTTGTCTCACATCTGTATTTATCATGGCTATCGCGTTCTCCGCTTTGTGCGGATCCTCATCGCCACGCTTGACGCTCGACTCCCTCATCACGCGGGCGCCTTCCGTAATCTCTCAAAAACTCTAGTTTAAGCTTTGTCCTCTAAAAACCCGAAATAATAAAAGTATATAAAATACAAAAAAATACAAAAAATAAAAAATATAAATATATAAAAAAACAAAAGCAAAAAAGGAACTACAAAAACTTTCTACGTCCACGTCGTTAGCTCTGGGTAAAGCTAAAGGAAAGTTTTTGAATTTTTATATGCGTGCATTCGTTTATATCCGTTTAGACTAGTAAAAATATCGAAAATTGAATGGGCGCCACGATAATCTTGCCCAGGGCGCCAATGTTGCTAAAACCGGCACTGTTCCGAGTTAACGCACGGCACAGTAAACCAAGTTTAAACTCGCGCTATAAGCGCCATTTTCCTGCGCGAGGCGTGTATTGCGGTATGAATCATACTTTGTAACGGACTGAGCGCGGGTTCTCGTAAGTGTTTCCTCGTCGCACGTTCCTTTGTCGAACTGCTAATTAATTCGTCCGCGGTCGCGCGAATAACGTCCAGCATTAGAGCGGATCTCTCGTCATGGTCAAGTTTCGCAAATGGGTAAATATATTTTCGTTGTTCACGTATTGTTTCATCGACAATATTGCGACCTAACCTCTTAAACTCTCGCAAAGTGGTTAGAGAAATCGGTGAATTTTATTTCATCGGAAGATTTTACGAATTATTTGTCGAATTCTGATGACAGCAATGATAATTTTGTATTGAAATCGAAAAAAAAGAAGTACTCCAAAAAAATAATTCCACTGTACCTTATACATACACAAAACTCCACGCGACACAAAGAAAGTCATGAGGACACACGTGTTGAAGATGAAAATATAAATTAAACGAATGTTAAATATGTAAAGTTAACGTTGAGTAAAATTATGGACGAATTATATAAGGTTTATTTAAAATGAAGAATATTTAAATATAATTTTGTGCATGCGATAGATGTTTTACTTTTGTATATATAGATTTAAATAGATTTTTGGAGTTATATGGGGAAGAACAAATTATTACATATGTGAGATTTATAAAATAAACAAACATGTTTGCTATCAGAAAAATTTAATAATAATGTCCAATGTTAATTTTATTTTTGAATATATGAGAAGACTAAAATTGTATAATAGCAATTGTGTAAAAATTTTCTTTTCTTCAGCACATGTTGAATTCTTTTTCATTTTTTTGTGTTGTATAAAATTATATAATATATGGATGCATTTACAAATAGTTTTGTAGTATTCAAATGAAAGAATATATTTAAATATAATTTTGTGTATGCGATGTTTTACCTTTGCGTATATGAATTTGAATAGATTTTTGGAGTCGTATGGGGAAGAACAAATTACATATTTGAGATTTATGAAATAAATAAATTCTCCATATTTGACAAATAATATCACACATATGTGTTATTCACTATCAGAAAAATCTAATAATGTTCAATGTTAATTTTATTTTCGAATATATGAGAAGACAAAGATTGTTTAATAGCAATTGCGTAAAAGATTTTCTTTTCTTCAGCACACGTTGACTTCTTATTCATTTTCTTTGTGTTGTACAAAATTTTATAATAGATGGATGTATTTACAAATAGTTTTATGAATTAAAGGATGAATGTTATGCGATAGTTGCTTAAGTCTTTTGTATCTGTAGTAGCATTACATAATTTTTAACTTTGCTTAGATTTGAATAGACTTTTAGATTTTATGTGCCGAATGGTAGCGCCGGAGCAGTAGTGTGAGCAGTTAGTAGCTTCGGCTAGTAGATGCGGCAAGAGCATGAACTTCCTGACTACTTAATAATCTATGCCCTGTGGTAGGTAAAACGAAAGAAGGGCGCCGCACGAAGGCAACAAACGGCCGCGGAAGATCAGCGGAGGCGAAAAGAGGACAAGCAAGGCGGCGGAGCTGGTGCAGGCAGCGAGTCCAGCAACGAGAGCGAGGCGGGCTCCGCCAGTGACACCAGCGAACAATTGAGCACCATTCAACCTGCTTCGAGGGTTCGACATACCACGGCCAATTCCAACAATTCCTCAGGAAACGGTTAGTTGACGTAGCTTGTTGTAAATGGACTTCCCATCAGGTGAACTAACTATTCACTTGCAGGGTAAGTGAGATCCGTGTTCCATGATCGTACAATTATTTCTCTCTAGAGCTGTACGAGAACTCAAGAGAATCAAGAGTGATTGACAAACAGATTAATTTATGCATCATTTTGTGGAATTTCCATCTTTGCTAGAAGAAAACAAAGTTTATAAAAGAGCTCTTGGATCTTTTATGTTTTCTTCGAATTCACCATTTTTAAATTTTATAATTCGATCTCACGCACTTACCCTGATTTCCATTTACATTATTACATTAGTATACATGCATTATTTAAAAAAATAAGTGTATATATGTACACACACTTCACTTATTTTTTTAAATAACATATACATGATGACAATATAAAACAATTGATAACATTGTGATATTTATGAGCTTTTTAACACTGAATTGCACTATAATCACACGATTTAAAGTAACGACTTAGACTTATTTTAATAAAATCAAATACATGATTTATTAGCAGGAAATAAGGAGCCGAGGAAACGTGGTAGAAGACCAAAGACTACGAAAGGCAATGAAGTAGGAGGGGAAGATCAGCAGCCTCGTCAGAAGAAGGAACGTAGAGACGACAGTACAAGCGGCGGTAACAATGGACCAGGCGGAAGTGGCGGACGAGGTGATCCCTTTCGTAAACCACCGATATCGCAATTGAAGAAAACTGGGGAGAGCTGGCTGCAGGATGGCGCTTGTTTCGAGGTGGCTCCAAAGCTAGCCAAGTGTCGCGAGTGCCGATGGACGCCGCATCAGCGCTCCAAGAACCTTCCTCAAAACATCTTCTGCAGATTTTACGCGTTTCGCAGACTGCGTTATACCAAAAACGGACAATTGGCAATAGCGGGATTCAGCGACCCACACAAGGATGCATCCGAAGTAAATATCTTTTCAAGATAATAAATTAGTCACATAATGATTACACTTGAATTGTAAGAAATCTTACAATTTCAATTCAAAATGCATGCCTCACCCTAGAATTATCATTACAATGTTACAGGATGATCTTCGATTATGGTTACCAGGAAAAGATAATCAAGAAACAACAGGAAAAGATGACAAATCGGAGAAAAACGAGAAAGACAAAGGTGACCGAGAAGATTTAGATTTAGAAATGGCTCATCGGCTGCTTCGACAGGTTGGCGATCAATTTTGTGATCTTTTACATCAAGAAAAGGACGCTCTTCAAGAACACATGGCTGAAGGTAAAATTTAAAATTATTTTTTTAATTAATCTTTCACATGTTTTTCATATTAATATATTAACGTAAATGTCATACGTATCATCGATCAATAAATTGCATGCATTAATAAAACCTCGATTTGTTAAAATTAATGCTATCGATGTTTTTTTTTTTTTTTTTTTTTTTTCCCAACTTATTTGGTTTTTTATATTGTATATATTTTACATTTTATATAAATCACGATCACACAATAAGAGCGCAAAGATGTACAATTTTCAATTTTTGCACTTATTATTTGCAAAATTATAAACAAAAATATTTAAATGCCAGGCTGCATGTTTGCTTGCATAATTTCTTTCGTTCGCATGTTTTAACGCTTTGCGCATCGATTATGATTATTTTTTGACAGCGAGTTCGGGGGTTGTAGACGCAACAGTAGCATGGAAACGAGTGATCCAAGGTGTTCGAGAGATGTGCGACGTGTGTGAGACTACCTTATTCAATTATCATTGGGCCTGCGGCAAATGCGGTTTCGTTGTGTGCATCGACTGTTATAAGGTAAAATATGTTGAATACATACACTTTTTTCAATTAAACACTAGAAATTAAATGATGACAATATTACTTTTTGATACTATTATGATATTATAATATTTATAATATTTGTCGAGCTTTTTAACACTGATATTTATATAAAAATGCGTTGCTAATTTTTTTATAAGGAGAAAATGTATTAATAGAAATGTATAAATATTATAGGGACGTAAAAATGGGACAATCAAGTGTTGGGGCGAGAGTGGAAAAGACAGAGACGAATTCTCATGGCTTCTATGCACGAATAGACAAGCACATGAACCGGAACGGCTCATGCTCACGCAAATTATCGCTGGGGACAGTCTTTTGCGATTGGGGCAACGTCTGCACGACTGTCGTGGAGAATGGGGAATCCCCCAACATTGCGTTTGTTCTCTCGTAACTTCGACACAGTCCAACGAGATCCTTCGAAATCTGATCAAAGGTGATTCTGTGCTTGTTCTCAACGGAAATGTAAAGGATGCGAAGGAAGAGAAGAAGATAAATGAATCTAACGGTGCATCGGAAAGCAAGACCAACGGCGAGGATAAAAACTCACCGCTGAACTGGCTAGCGGATGTAGCGTTGCAGAATCAGGACAAAAACGAAAGCGGTTCGAGTTCGGATTCGGATGAAGATCGCGAGAACTTCTCAACATTACGGGAATTGCTCATCAGGCCATCGCACAAGTCAAATGGTAGCGGCGGATCCAGATCAAATTCGCCGACTACCAACTCGAGCGGTGGGGTAAACGCTACTAGCGGGGCCAGCAATAACGCTTCGCAAAATAATGTCGCCAAATCCAAAAAATCAAAGATGGATACGCTTGATGAGGTAATATCCAGTGTGATCGAGCATAGTGTGAAGAAGGAAAGGGATAGCGGTCTGGACGACGAAAAACCACGGGAGTTGAAGCATTTTGTGCGACGTTACAAGTGGACTCAGCGTGGCCGAGAGCCATTACCGATCAGAATTATGACGTTGACGGAGAGTAAAAGCCTCTATCCGGATGTCCCGCATTCCTGGCTCTGCGATGGCAAACTATTGAGGTTAAACGATCCGAATAATCCCAATAACTACAGAATATTCCAGGATCAATGGAAGCGAGGACAGCCGGTGATCGTATCGGACGTTTCCAAGGCGCTGGATATGAATCTCTGGCATCCGGATTCGTTCGCCCGCGATTTCGGCGATGAGAAGAATGATCTCATTAACTGTATGACCGGCAATTTGGTGCCCAATCAACCGATGCGTAAGTTCTGGGAGGGATTCGAGAACTACTCGAAACGGCTAAAGGACGACCGGGGAAATTCCATGCTGCTGAAATTGAAGGATTGGCCGCCTGGCGAGGATTTCGCTGAGCTACTGCCATCAAGATTCACGGATCTAATGAAGGTTCTTCCATTATCCGAGTACACGCATAGGAACGGCAGACTAAATTTGGCGAGTCGTCTGCCTAATTGCTTCGTGAGACCAGATCTGGGCCCAAAGATGTACAATGCTTATGGTTCCGCTCTTCACCCCACTAAAGGCACGACTAACCTTCATCTCGATATCTCGGACGCTGTAAATGTCATGGTATATGTAGGGATCCCAAAGGATGCCGATAGCAACGAACACATCAAAGGTATGTATTTAAGGCTGCGTTCGGAAACATTCCCCGAGTGCATTCTCTCTCTTTCTATGTCGCTTCTATGTCAGTGATATTATTTAGAAAGAGAGAGGGAATGTATCTACTTGGGGAACGTTTCCGAACGCAGCCTTAATTTTAATTACACGCAGTAATTATGGAACTGTATTCATCAACTGTGTGTCATTGTTTTTGTTAAAACAATAAATTTTTCAAAAATTAATATTATGACATTTGTTGTTACAGAAGCGTTGAAAGCAATAGACGAAGCAGGCTGTGATGTTCTGACGCGTCGTCGTGCTCGCGACCCTAACGAAGCACCTGGTGCATTATGGCACATTTATGCGGCTCGTGATGCGGACAAGATTCGAGATCTTTTGAATGCTGTTGCCTTAGAACGCGGAGCTCGCTTGGAGCCGCATCATGATCCCATACACGATCAGAGTTGTTACTTGGATGGAGCATTGCGCGATCGATTGTATCGAGAATACGGTGTCGAAGGGTAAGTATCAGTACCCCCCCCCCCCCCCCAATCCATCAGGATGTATTTTATGTACTTTTGGGAAAAAACTTGAAAACCTTCAGGGAATTTCGTACAATCTTGAAAAATCATGGAATTTGATTAGCATTCAGGGAATTAAAAAAAAATTTTTTCGTTAATTTTATTCTCATTTAGTACTTAAGAAACACATGTCTAACATATCTTGGCAATATTAAAGTTTTTAATTAAAATTTTATGTGACTTTTTGATTGACAATCTTTTTAATATCAAGATCTTATATGAATTATAAATATATTTTATAAATTTCACAGAAAATTGTTCAGTTTTTTAAATAGATAATATTTAAATAAATTTAGTATTTCTTATTTATTTAATAAATAATTAATTTAAATAAATTAGTCATAATTCCTTGAGACGTGTATAATAAATTATTTTATATTTCTATTTTTATCAGATAATTTTTAAAAAAATGTAAGAGAGTAGACACCCTATCCATAATTTTGAAAATGAAATATCTCTTGAAAGAATTTATTGCGATGTCACTTGTGCAATCAATTTTCCGAATTAAAAAGTAATATTTAAAATGTTATTAATTTTTTACAGATACGCCATCGTTCAGTGTCTGGGTGACGCAGTATTCGTTCCAGCTGGCGCACCGCATCAAGTCCGCAATCTTCACAACTGCATAAAAGTGGCCGAGGATTTCGTGTCGCCGGAAAACGTTTCTCATTGCTTCCACTTGACCCAAGAATTTCGTGCATTATCCGACACGCATACTAATCACGAGGACAAACTCCAGATCAAGAACATCATTTATCACGCCGTGAAGGATTCTCTGACCGTCTTGGCTAACGTTAAGGAGGAGACTCTAACTAAACTGGCCAAGACCAACAATGAGACAAAAAATAAGGAAGAGACCTAGCCGTAAGTTCTTGCGGTACGGTCGTAAGACCTTTTGATAAAATTCCCTTGATTGGGTCTCGTCATGCGGGCGAGATTAATCGTTGACGATCTCCCGAACCCAGCAAAGCTGGCGAAATCGGGAGAATTTGTAGAAGAGAATCCGTTCTCGCCGCGGAAAAATCATCGAAAAAGTGCGAGGATTGTGATATATACATACAATATACATACTTACATAAATACACGCATACATAAATACACGCATAAATACAAGTATGTAATGTTAATAAATTTTTTTTATCGGGATGAGAAATATATTGGTTGAGCCAATAATGATTAATTATTTACATTGTTTTATTTGAATTTTCTTATGTATACATTTTTTTTGCTCTCCCGTATTTTTTCCCCAAGAGAGATGCCCGCGGACATGAAGTCCGACGAGCTGTACCATGAGTGGAAAAAAAATTGTGAACCGGATTGCGCATAGATAAAACGCCGCGTCCATTACTTGTGATAATGATAATGACTCGAATTTTGACTCGCATACATTATTTGTAATTAATTATATCGTGCCTGTATCCAATACACACATACATACACATAAACACTGTCTATATTATATAAATGTAGATAATTGTGAAATATTATGTAATGAATTTTTGCTAGCAACTACCAGATAGAAAGGAGGGAAAAAGAAAAAAAGGGGTTGTCTAGAAATACCTTTGTGCAATTAGATGTTCGTACTATTATATATAGCTCTGGATCAAAGCGATAACTGTGGATCCATTTAATCGTGTGCTCTGGTGATCTGGTGCTTTCGGTATTTGATTAAAGTCCCGGCCAGAGATAGCCGATACGTATTCGCGTATTTAAGTCTCTTATGTTCCACGCGACAAGGGCATAAGGATAAAAAAACACTGCCTAATTAATCGGTCCGACGATAATGGAAGAGATAAATGAATCTTTTCGCACTTTTATTAGTAGATAATTTGCATCGTTCGCGTTCTTTAGAGGCATATTGTTTTCCAATGGCGACATATGTATCGGTTATGCGAGCGGCGGGGGGGGGGGGGGGTGTTGCTACAAGTTTTGTATGTCACTTCGATGTATAAGACATCAAAACGAGAGAAAGAATACAATTTCTTCGATATTAACTTTTCGAGATATAATGGCGGATGTGTGAAATAGATGAACAGTTGAATTGAACACGTTTTATTATTGCTGTCGTGATTACCCAGTGACTACCCGGCGTGTAATGAACCGGGAATAATTAATAAGATGAACGTGTTATTTTTGTCATATACAAATCGACAAAAGACAGCGATAACAATTATATTGTAACGACACGCTGAGACGTAATATGAGAAATTATTTGCAGTAACATTAAGTAAAAAAAGAAAAAGGATAACGACTTTTGAAGTGCCAATGTTGAACGACTTAGAACATTTAAGTGTGCGCGCATTGTGTAAGCGTTTATGCGTAAGTAGAAAAAAAGGAAAAATGAGAAATAAATAAAAGAAAAAGAATTAGTCACGCAAAATTCGCAGAGATGACAGGCCGAGTTCCTATCATTTCATAAGAATAGTTCACACGAATCGTATAAAGTATTTCCGTTATTCGTACTGTCATTGACGATTCGAAAATTGCTGTCATTTCCGGTTTTTTTCCCCCGTAGAATTTGTTCGATAGTGCGCGAATAAACTATGATGAAAATATAAATATTTGCGTTGATAATTTATGACGCGTAATAATTTATAATAAAGACAGCAATTCTCGATTCTAATATAATGTCGTCGAGTATGCGCGATTTTCACGACGCATCAATCTTATTATATGGCTGGTATAATTAACACGAGCGTGTAAACAAAAAGAAGAATGAGCAGAAAAAAAGGAAAGAATAAAAAATATATCACTGGCATCCTAAAAATCCGCAAGTTCTTTGATCTCAACATTCGTCTAGCATACAACGACTTGATTAAATAATATTTAACGAGTAAATTTTTAAATATCTTAGTGTCGATAAGTAACAATTACAAGAAAATGTGTAAACTACAAACAACAAAAGTAACTAACTCCAGAACGGCGGTGTATAAAGTTTTAGGGGGACGTGTATTTCCGTGTATTATTGCTGCAGACGAGACGCTATTGTTTGTTCTCTTGCTACGTGTATATGTACATACATTTATATATACATATATACATCCGTATATGTATACATATATAAATACGAAGAAGAGGGAAGAAGTCTAGGGACTTGTAATGGATAAGGATATACACAGACACACAAACCTTTACGAAACACGAAAAAAATTACACACCTTATACACACGCGTAGATAGATAGTTTATTATGCCATTATTATAATTATTATATATTATCATATTATTACGATTAATTATTACGGAAAATACGATATTTAAATGTTGCTAAATATATGCCGAAAGGAGCACGAGCGCGCGAGTATAAATGGTCAAAAAGAAGAAATTGGAAGAGAAAGAGTTAACGCGATGCTTAAGCAAATGAGGAAAAGATACAGAAAGAATGTGCGTGAGTGAGAGAAAAAAAGGTGTTGCGTGTGCGTGTGTGTAATCCGGTGAAAATGTGACAGATCGAGAGAACATGGGGCCGTGTATTGGGGGCGGAGTTGAATGGCTAGTATAACAATGTACAGACCTTGGAGTCCTATGCGATATATATATATATATATATATATATATATATATATATATATATATCCATCCCCGAAAAATGTTCCACCCTATCTACCTATTTGTCCTATCCTACTTTTCCCTTCTATCAACCACCGGCCGCCCCCAGTCATAGCAGTTATGAACCGCGGGCCGGCAGGTCTGAGTATAATTTTTTGTACTGTGTAAATGTAAGAACATACGTTTGAATAAGAAAAATGTTTATATTACGAAACGCCCAGCGTTGGATCATTGCGTCTCAACCCTCGAGTAAAAACGTTCATCCTACGTGAGATTAATTAGGTGAGTTTTATACAGTGTAATAAGCGCATAAATCATTTTTTTTCCGTAAAAATGCAAAAAAGTAGTTGAATTTTAACGAATTTTTAATTGTGAATTCAGAGAGTTATGAGATTTTGTTGAATTTATTGGATATAATGATGAACTTTGATAAAATGCATATTTTTCAAGTTTAACTTTCCTCTAAATTCTTATTTTGATCAATTTTACACAATAATTATTTTTAAAAACAATTTTTTGGGATCTTTCTAGTCAATAAAGATACATTCAATTATATCTTTATCAAAAACTTGAGATTTTCAAATTCATAAATTTATCTTATATTTTTTATAGATTTTATGCTTAGAGAGTAAATATAAAATTTATAATGTGAAATATATTAATGAAGAATTAAACTTTATCCTTGAAAAAAGAGAGGAAAATATATATACATGAAAGAAAATATTTATTATAATGCATGAAAATGATCATTTTTTCATTGTTGAGATTTATTTCACGTTATCGAATAATTGAATTTTGCTTATGTTAGAAGAAAAAGCAATAGAGCAGATTAATTATCAATATTTTTATTCGATATACAAAGTAGCGTTATAATGAGTAATTATGTTATCTTGTTGATGAAACTCAATTTTATCGGGTACATACAACATTGAATGTAACTTTTCAATGCATGCACGTTTTGTATACATAATACATTTTGATCATAAAATTATATTAGTATAAAATAATTATATGAAAAAAAAACTTGTATGATTAATTTATTTTAAAAAATTGTTATATTTCTTCTTTATCGAACGTAACATTTCCTGCAAATAATTCGCGTAATTCATTTTCTATTAAAGAAAATCATGCCACAATTACTATACTCTGATACGCAGAAAAAGAGAGAAATAGAGCTATCATCAAATATTAATGAATAAGTTCCACGAACGACGCGAGAAGAGAGAGACACCGGTGTCGCGTCGCCTCGCGTGCGCGCGCACGCGCACGTGCTTTCAAAATGGCGGCGCTGTTGGGAGGGGGGAGGCGATTCCAGACTGAGGGAAGCGTGTCACAATTGCGTTCGAGTGCGTGTGTGGGGCGACGGGATGATGGACGCGCGCGAGGATTGTTTATCGCTTCTCGCCACCGTCGTCGTCGTCGCCTGCAAAGGTGCTCGTGTCCTGTAATAATAATAATAATAATAATATCGGTGCATCCTTCAGGCGAGTTGAGGCGAGGACCAAGTGGGAGAAAATGCTCGCATTCGTGGACAAGGTTGAGCGGCGCCGGGACTGGAACTGATACGCGTTTCTGCGCTGCGCCGTGATACTTGGTACACCTCGTATATACTACATGTCAGTGTATTGAGCCAAAATGGCAGCCACGTTGACCGTCGAGCAGGAGCAAGTGAGTAAATTTCTGTCAAACTTACGTCGGACGCTTTTATCCGCGGACCTCTCTCGGGATCCCGTCGTTCTCCGGAATCCGAGGACACGATCCCGGACGGACGTCGCGAGCCTCGACTTCCGGTGGACGATCCCCGCGCGAGAGCGAAATTCATCTTCAAGTTTTATTCGTGACAATGGACGGGGTCTGACCCTCGCGGGGTCGATCGCATTCCTTAGCAAGGTCCGAAGATCAATACGCAAGTATTGTCGATCGGTTTCTCGGAATGAAATTTCTCGGAAATCGATTCGGAGCGCGTTCATGCGAAAGAATGTAAACATTATTCGTCCCCCTCTCTCCCCGCCCTCTTAAGTTGTTATCTTGCGTTTTAAGACGACGCGATAACGATTGTAAACACTACACCGCCGAGGATGCTTCCTTCTCGTCTCTCTTCCGTTCGCTGAAACCGGGAGGATGAGGAAACGCTCCGGGAAACAAGCGAGACGATTACCGGTCGCTCGCCGGAAATTCGAACGTCTTAACGCAACACGCTGTTAATAATGGCCCGTGTTTCCGGTAACCGGTTTTTTCTCAGAAGGACGGCCAGGAAGGAGGGGGAAGACACCCACGCGTCTCGATTGGGAAATTTCGTCTATTTTAAAACCGCTATTGAATATGCACTGCGGTCGATATGTGCTTTATTCGCGTCTACTTCCGCTGTTTAAAAAAAAAAAAAAAACTCGCATCGATATAATATACCCGGTGAGTCGCTTAATTTCTTCGTACAGGGTGCGGTCGAAATATGCGAGTAATGTTAAATCATGCGCTGAATGACTTGACAATGACATTTCCTATCATTCCCTGTTGAACGATATATATATTGCGATTTGATGAAGATCTGGAGCATTGATTTTTTTTTAAATAGAAATGTTCAGAACGTTTTTATTATTGATTACTGTGAAAAATTGTTCGTTCACAAAATGATGTCAAAATTATTTTGTGAAAAAGAAACGAATGTTTAATTTATTATTATAATTGACAAGATTGGTTTAACTGATGCTTTTTAAATCAATAGTGAACATTTTGAGTTTACGTGTACAGAATCTGTGTTATTAATAAATGATGAAATATATTGTTATTAAAACAATAAATTATATATTAATTATACGTAGATGATATACAAGAGAATAAATTTCAGATATATATTAATGACATGTAGATTAAATATTTACTATTACAGGAAAAAATATAAATTGAAGACGAATTTTATATGTTCGTAGCTTTTTTTTGCTACTGGAATCGATCAAGTCTATTTAACTGGCGGCGACATCACATGAATAGATGAATAATTTCTCACGTAATAAACTCTTGGTATAAGCAAACTCAATTTGCAGCTACAATGGAGTTTCTCCGAAAAGCAGATTTTCCCGTATTGATCTGCGGTATTAAATTCGGTCTATGACGTGACGCTCTTGTATCTACTTTTAACGAACGTATATTCTCGTCATGTGCAACAGAGATAAATAATAATCGTGTTTTAATCATGATAATCTTCGTTTCGCGTTAAGGATCGATTATGGCGGTGTAGCCTTGATTAATTAACGTTGATTACGGATCCCTTTACTTTACACTGTAACGCAGTCATTCATGTCGGAAAGTTCGCTTAATCATGTTTAACGTTAATTGTTGTGCTAATCAGTCACTTAAATGGTGAATGTACTTCTTAATGCATCCTGAAAACGTGTTGAGAAAGAGAGAGGAGAAAGTCAAATTTAATTTCCTTGTCATATATATTTAAACTGTGAATTTCATATTATTTTCTTCATACTTGATCATGATATAATTTTAAATTTTATCCAACAATTTTCTTATCAATTTCTTTATTTACAATACATCGGGGTATATTTATTGAATAGTAGGAAAAGAAATAATATATATAGTTGTGGTGACTGCGTTTTTTATTTTAGAGCCTAGAGGACAGTCCTTTATTTATCTTTTAGATTTATTGATTTTTTGAGCATTTAATTTTGTCCTTTATTTAATACACGGAGAGAATTTTTTCTTAGAATTTAATCATGGGACAATATGGTATTGGAAGAATTTTATAAAAGTTTCTCTGATTAATATTTATCACAATAAAAATTATTAATATGTACGTAGTAAATTTTATTATGTATATAGTAAAGTTAATCAAACATATTTTATATCTTATTATATGGTAGATTCTCATTATAAATTTTAAGAAAAAATTCTTTCTGCGTACTGAATTATTTAAAATTTAATTATTTAAATTGTCAAATGTCATTCTTTTTTTTTGTTTACCGACCTTCACTTTGATCGCAAACTGGCTCTGAATAAGATTTAATACTGCCTTATAAATCATTAATTTGAAACTAATAATATTGATTTGATTATGGTGACCATACGTCTTTTATTTTAGAGTCTAGAGAACAGTCCTTTATTTCAAGTAGCTGTTCTTTAGATTTATTGATTTTTTGAGCACTCAATTTTGTCCTTTATTTAATATATACGGAGAGAATTTTTTCTTAGAATTTAATCATGGGATAATATGGTATTGGAAGAATTTTATAAGAGTTTCTCTGAAAAAATATTTATTTGATATAAGAAAATTATTTTCAAAACATATTTATTTATTTCAAATAAATGATTTATAAAGCAGTATTAAAATAATATTGATTAATTTAATAATTTTTTTTTTTCAGTGTAATTATTAAATTCCTCGATTTTTCTTTCTCTCTCTCTTTCTGATATATACATACATAGGCCGACTTATACCACTTACGTACCGGCTGGTCCCCACCGGCTGGTACATAGCGGAAATGACCGGTGGGGAGGTAGCCGGACACCGGAAGTTGTATCGGTAGTATACCGCACATACGTATATATACACTCACCGCGTCATTCCACGGTCATTGCACGTTTTAATAGTATAAAAATGATACGTCGTCGCGCAACGTTACGACGGTATCGATAATTACATCGTCTCAACAATTCATAATTTGGACTTAACTTTCTTTGCTTGCGACATGACGAAGTGTGAATTGATCGCGAAAATTAAAAAAAAGTGTGTAATTTTGATACGAATTCGATTTCCGATATTACAGGTATGTACATAGAAAAAAGTGTCAAATCAAATCTTATATACTTATATGCAAAAATTTACTTGAATGAGAGAAAACATTTTATACACAGAGAGAAAAAATTTTCTCTTGGAATTTATCCTAAAAATCATGGTAATTGGGACAATATGGTATTGGGAGAATTTTATGGGAGTTTCTCTGATTAATATTGATTGCAATAAAAAATATTAATATCTACCACAATAAGATATAAAATATGTTCCATTAATTTTACTATGTACATATTAATATTTTTTATTGTGATAAATATTAATTAGAAAAACTCATAAAATTCTTCTAATATCATATTGTCTCACGATCACTATGATTTTCAGCAGGATAAAGTCTAAAAGAAAATTCTCTCCGTGTATAATTTAATCAAGGAAAATATTAATCTCTTATTACTTAAGAATAATTTTTCTTGAATGAAAAAAGAAAAATGTTGGATAGAAAATAATTTATATATATTCATATAAAATAACATATTATATATATTATATTTTTCAAATGACAATATATAATATTAAAATAAGACTACTAATAATAATGATTAAAAATTAAGATTTAGCAAATTTTTATAAGAAAATTATAGAATCTTATAAAAAGATTTATATTGTTGCATATATACGAGTATATAAATGTTGATTTCACACTTAATTTTTTTTTGTGTGAGACATGTTTCTATCAAAAGACGTGGATATCATTTTCGCGCGCTTACATCATCGAAATTTGAGGTCTAAGAAAATTATATGGACGGTTTCGGAATTCATAAGTTGAGTATCCCTCTTTCTTTCTCTCGCTCCTCTTATTAAAATCGGGTTGTGCGTGATGAACCGACGAATAATCAAGATATGCATACGCATGTTGCGTTTAGATCGATCGGGTCGCTCTGATAAAGATTATAATTCGCCGTTTCCTGATCGCGCTCACCGCTAACGTAAAGCTTTCAAGGTTGACATTGTGCAACGATGTATGTAAGATGCTGAGTGATTATGACCGGGATTTTGTTACCCAATGCACGTTACATTATCCCCCTACCGCGTCGATCGTTTCAACGACAAGTGATAATTTATTCATGGAATAATAATTACGTTCGCTCCACTTTTGCGACAATGCGAATAATAAAGATGAAAGATAAAAAAACAATAGAGGCATGTCTAAATATTAAGAGAGAGTGTCATACTTAGGGATATTTCTGTTGTTTTTTTATCTTTCATCTTTATTATTCACATTGCCGCAAAAATGGAGCAAATGTAATTATTTATGTGTAATTTGAGTTATATGTTGACATAGAACTATCTATAATATTATAAAAAATTCTTTTTTATTAATTATTAATATTTATAATTATTATTTTTATATAAATATTCTCTAATTTTCATGAAAATTAGGAACCAATAAAAATAAGCAAAATACTTAATCTATAATTTAAAATTTTTTTAAAATTTGCATTAATCTCTTTCTGTTTATAAAATTACAATCTGTATATATAATTTATATAAATATTATTTTTATATAAATATATATTCTATTTTTTATGAAATTTATGAAGCAATAAAAGTATGCAAAATACTTAATTTATGATAATTTAAATAAAATGTGTATATATAAAATTGAAATTTGTTTACATTTTAATCATATTCTTTTCTCATGTATATCATTTTTTCTCAGGCTACAAAGGAATTTATAGAAACTGTGAATAAATGTAGAGCTGGGAGACGGGCTGGACCAGTATCTTGGAGCACAGCGTTAAAATTCTTAGCGGCACGAAAGTTTGAGGTTCAACGAGCTTTAGCTCTGTATGAGCAGCATGAAGCCATTAGAAGAAGAGAAGGATTGGCGATCTTGCATCCTACTCAGGAACCTTTACTCAGTGAACTACGCACAGAAAAGTTTACCGTTTTGGTAAGACAAGGAAACCAATTAATGCATATGTATTTTTATTCATCGTTATATGATTTATAGCGAATTAATGCATAAATTATTTCAGCCATCTAGAGATGCAACAGGTGCAGCGATAGCTATTTTTACCGCGCATTTACATCTTCCACAAAATACTACACATCAAACAACTCTGCAAGTAAGTATTTTATTGATGATAATATTTTTTTGATTCAGTGAAATAATTGTACAAAATTTAGAACATTAAAAAATAACGAGCTTTGTCTTTTTTCAGGGTGTGGTTTATCAACTAGATGCTGCTTTGGAAAGTGCAGAAACACAGAAGCATGGTCTAATTTTTATTTATGACATGTCTGACAGCAAATATCAGAATTTTGACTATGACTTGTCACAGAAAATTTTAACACTTTTAAAGGTAAGTCACAAATATATTTTTCATATATCATTTTCATTGATATCAAGATCCCTACGAGTCATAATATTCACACGAGGTGTCCGAAATAAACCTCAAAATTTAGTGCTTTTAGATTTGCTACTAAAAATGTAATAAAAATTATAATCGACATATGCGCAAGTAATATTAAAAAAATGTCATTATTAAAAAAATGAATATATATATATATATATATATATATATATATATATATATATATGAATGTGTAAAGCAATCTAAAAGTGAAGCTTGAGAAAAGGCGTGAATAGAAATCTAAATACAAAGAAAGTATGAACAATCAGCTATATATAACTTACCTAAATAATTAAGAAGCGCGAAGTTTATTTCCGCTTATTCTTGCCGAGATATATTCTAATGTCAAAAGTTCTCGACTGCGTTTCCTGTTACAAAACTATTACGCAAAGAGTGTTGTGTAGAATCTCGTATTTTCTTTTTAAACACGTCAAATTTTATTGGATTATCGGAATAGTAAAATGTTATCGATATTTTTTCTCCGTACGTTACACATCGATTTACACACTATTTTCTCTGAAAATATGCGTAATACTTTTCGATGCGACATGATTAAGTGGCATAAAGACTAGCGAAGCGGAGCGCCGTTGTTAAGTGAGAGAAAACGAGAAAAAATCGTAGACCAGAGTGAGAGGAGAACGAATCTTGCGACGAATGTTATGTATAGTAATGTACGTTCTCATTTCTCTCATCTCTGCCAACAGGTGACGAAGATGTTTAATCATATATATAGTATCGTCCGATGCATGAATGAAAGTCGTTGCGTTATTCATTTAAATTCTAAGTGGTAAAATGCGAAATAATAAGAAAATTGGCTTACCTATGCCGTTTTGCAAATTTGTAAACATTGTTGAATAACTTTATTCTACATATATATATATATATATATATATATATATAATTATAAATTTATTGTAATGAAAAATAATTTATATAATTAGTAGAAAATATTTATGTGCTCACGAATCTGTATACAAAGTATTGATTTGATTGCGGACAAGATATATATATATATATATATATATATATATATATATACACATTATATATACACATTATATATATATATATATATATATATATATACACATTATATATATATATATATACACATTATATATAATATATATATAAACATATGATAATTATAAATTTGCAAAGTGGCCATCGTTGTATTTGCGGTCTAAATTTCGCAAGTATAAATAATGCGGCATAATGAATGAAACGGACAGTACGTGCTTCTGAAAAAATTTCTCCACATAGAGGAGTGTAATAATTATGTGAATTACGTGAGCATGAAGTGCCTTTAACAACGCGTTCTAAAATACGTGGTCCGATTAACATTCAACATTATATGCAATTTCGTCCGGCTGAGCGGCATTACAGTTATTACCATCGCTGAAGTTAACCCAATTAGTCATCGCCGGTCGGCCGAAATAGTCTCGTGCGTTAATGCTTTGATGCGGTCAACCCACTTACGTAAAAAATGGTGTCATACGCGATGTATCTGATTCTCCTGATCTCTCCGAATCGCGCAGTGTCACTTTAATATACCCCGTCATTATTTGAATAAACGCGTGACATTCTCTTTTCCTCTTACTCCGATTTCTACGTAATCGATATAATCTTTTTTTATTTCATTGATAAATAATTTTATATAAAAACTGAGTGAGGTTCTCTCCTATTTTTATAACCATACATAGAGCTTCTTTAAAAAATTTTTTTTCTTATTTAAGACCGGTGTGTACGCTCGTGTACGCTCGTAATATCGGTTTGTTTTTCCGAGACCTCCCACTTCTTGAGAGGCAAAATCTGAATCGGCTTTTAGCATACGTCGAGGATGTGCAGCTCAAAGAACAGTCAAGGCTTAAGGGTGTTTTATGCTTCGCGAAAAGTGGATTTGCAATTACGCAATGAAGCGCATCAAAGTACAACGTGCAGGGTGACTTTCAAAGGCTTCCTAGAAACTTCTTTCTCTAGTGACGTCATAAAGTTATATGAATACATAACATGAATATCATTAACGTCATCATTAAATATATATAATTAAATAACTCGTGTGGGCGTTTACGCGAGACGAGCCTCAATTGAGATTTTTTTTCCTCCAAGGAAATCTATTATCATCGTCTATTTATCGAAAGAGCGTAAAGGTATGAAAGACCTTCACGCACCGCGCAACTTAATTAGATCCTAATCGCGCGTTGAACCGTACTTCTCTTCAGGTGTTTGCTTGACGATGACTTTTATAAAGGTTTCGGTACGCAGTGACATTTTGCACGCGTATGCATATCGCGATGCACGCATCTTCTACGCCAGATCGCGTAAATAAATTGAATTTAATCGTGCGACGCGATGACCCGCGTAGCTTCCTTATCAGATCTCTCATAAATGAAAAAGTGTATATTTAACAGAAAAAGAGTATCAACATGAAAAAGGATAGGGGAAACTTGTTTATTCATGAATTGATCAGTATGAAAAAATGAGACTCTCTCGTCATTTTCTTTCTAATAGTGGTTGCATCAGCATTGACGTTGATTTTCGAAATTATTACATGATGAGATTTCAAGACTCAATCTTCAGGGAAATATTTATCAGCAGCATGAATGTTAACTGATAAATTACGCGAAGTGGTGAAGAAGCTTTTTTCATCAAGATTCGCCGACTCCGGAAGCCACGGTTGAGAAACACTGGTAGCCAATACGTCACCGGTTGCTGCACCTCCGCTGCTGGCGATAAAAAAAGGATCTCGCGTAAGGGATGTCGGTGGCGAAAAGAAGGGGTCGCGTGTAGAACGGAAAACGGCGCATGCGTCCCCTCGCTCAGGATAAACGTCGCGACGCTGGCGGTCAGTAATCATCGTGACCCCCTTGCGGCATCTCGTCGGATACGGTACGAACGACCCGATTCTCTCTCTCTCTCTCTCTCTATCTATCTCTCCTCCCCTTCCCGTTTCGCGTTCGATCGCGTCCTTGTTCGCGTGCGAGGCCAGAGTTTTTCCACGAAGACGAAGAGGACGTCGCCGCCGCTCTTTCGCTCTTCACCACCTCGTCGGGACAAGAACGAAGACGAAGAGGAACGAACCACCGTCAAGTGTGCGCCTCGGCGGTGTTATACTAATCTCGCGCTATCGATTAAACTGACCGAGTGCCGGCAGTGATTTGGAGTTCCGGTGCCTGGGTAATTGCATACTCCGATCAACGCGCGGACTGGATCGTCCCTCCGCGTCAGGGGAGAGAAGACGGATCAACCCTTGAAGAGACGAGATCATTTGTAATATTGATATGCGACCCGCCACGATCTCTTCTGTCATGTCCGGCGACAGCTGCTCACGGTAAATTTCGGCTGTCAGCCGATCGATCGATCGGCCCGACCAGCACATCTGGCCCGGCGGATTATGTTCTCGATTATGTTTCGCGACTAAGCTCGACTTGGGAGTGAAGTGGAGCGGCCGCTCGGCTAATTCGAGACCTTGCGCGCGCCCGCGCGATCCTAAAATTATACGCGCCTCGCTTTGCGGAACTGAGATTCCTTCCCGGAACAAGATCGCGTCAGTGCGCGGATCTTGTCCTCGTTACGCGCTCTCGCACCTCGATGACGTTTGTTGTATACGTAGCCACTGTTACGTGTGCCACACGGCACTGGTGGTGGGGTAGTGATCCGCTGACGTCGTAGGCACGTTACGGTACATCCGCCCTCTGTATGCGGGGGTTAGTCGGCCTCTTCCTGTACCTTGTATGCGTTACGAAGTAATTGATACAACAAAATTCGTGCTTTTATCGCTGATAGGTAATTTGTCAATTAACGCGAGAAATCACGGGGTGAAAGAAAGAGAGACGCGAAGTTATTTTCTTTCTTTCTTTGGAGCGCTCCAATTGTAATAATTTGATCATTTGACCCGATAATCTGATTAACTGTGTATCTGATTTTTTATGTGCGCTTTTCGCAAAGTTTCCCGACGTCGAGGAATGTTTAATGATCGGTCTATAGTTGGCGGTCGATTTATTAATGTATAATGCTGTTCTATTATTACAACGTCTTTGAAAGGTCAAGCGCACAACCGCGTTTTTAGAAATTATTTACGCGTAGATGGTGCGGTTGGAAATATTGCTCGTATTTATATTAGAAAGGATACTCTAATTAATGTAATATATATATAATTATTTTTTAATATTCTAATTTAATTGTAAAAATTAAAAATTAAAATTATATCAGAATTAAGTAATTAAATTTATCTGTAAATATGCTATACATATATGAAGAATATAAATCAAATTCTTTTAATAATAAATTATAATGCTATTACGCGATTACAATAGATTAAAAAGTATAAATAATATATAAAAAAGATGAAAGTTTATATTTTATATTCGCATCATTATTTCAGGGTGGTTATCCAGCGAAACTAAAAAAGGTCTTGATCGTGACGGCACCATTGTGGTTCAAAGCGCCCTTCAAGATTCTTCGACTCTTTGTTCGTGAAAAATTGAGGGACCGAGTGTTCACAGTATCCATTCCTCAATTGACTTTGCATATCCCACGAGAATCATTACCACATCGTTTAGGCGGCACGTTGGAGATACAGCATGAAGCATGGCTACTTCATTGTCTTAAATCCATGACTAACCGAAGTGGGGGTGAACTTTGTGAGGTCAGTACTTGATACAATTTTAAATTGGCCGTACATCATTTATTTCGTATCGATACGACGTGTTAATATAAATTGTTCGACTAAAATAATTTGGAATTATATATTTTCAGGTCGCCCCAAGAGTAGATACACCCACGTCACCCACGACGAAAGAAGACATGGTTCATCAAAATCTTAATGAAACTGCGACGCACAGTACTCCGACTAGTCCTATAATCGATAAAAACAAACAGGCGAAAAATGGTATATCGAATATCGCCGACATCGAAATCACCACTGCAAATAGTGAGATAGTTTGGTCGGGAATCGATGAGGCGCCTTCTCCAGTTCAGGCTCCGTCCTCGGCTAGTTCCGGTTTTAGTGACGATGATAGTCTTCATGGCGAGCCTTCCGGATTTCAGTCCTTTACAATGGAACAACTTGTAGCAGAACTAAAATCACGGGGGCGCGAAGGTTACACAGCGGAATATATGGAAATTAAGCAGAGACCGCCGGATGGTTCATTTAATAATGCAAAGTGTGTAATATTTTGTATTTGTGAGAAAGCCTCTCTCTCTCTCTCTCTCTTTTCTCTCAAGTTGATGCAGATAATATTGGTATTGTTTATTCTAGGTTAAAGGCTAATCAATCAAAGAATCGATACACCGATGTGCTTTGTTACGATCATAGCAGGGTCTGCCTTTCGCAAGTGGACGGGGATGCGACATCCGATTACATAAACGCCAATTTTGTCGACGGTTATAAGCAAAAGAACGCGTTTATCAGCACTCAAGGTCCTCTCCCGAGAACTTGCGGCGATTTCTGGAGAATGGTTTGGGAACAACAAACACTGGTCATTGTCATGACTACAAGGTATATCATTTTACTTGTACATATATTCTCAGTGTGAGAATAAATTTGACGTCTCGTGTTGATGTAAATTTTAACGATTTATATTGTACAGAAATTTTATGTAATTTTACAGTTTTATATAATTGTATCGTCCTTTCTTTTTTCAGAGTGGTGGAAAAAGGGCGTACAAAGTGTACACAGTACTGGAATCCTGAAGCGAATCATGATGTACAAGTGAATGGTTTTACAATAACCACTCTCGAAGTTGACAAAAATCGAGATTACACAATATCCACGCTTCTTATTACAAACACAAAGGTATGTGTGCATATATATATGTAATTTTATTCTTTCATTATTATATTTTGTTATATTTATTTTACATATATATATATATTTGCTTCCTTTCAGACTGATGAGACAAGAGAAGTTTGCCATATGTTGTACACAGCATGGCCAGATTATGGTACTCCTAAATCAGCTAAAGCATTACTGCAATTCTTGTCTTTAGTGAGACAGCAGCAGAGTAAATTACTCACCAGTAGAGGAGATACATGGGCCGGACATCCTCGAGGACCACCTATAGTTGTACATTGCAGTGCTGGTATTGGAAGAACAGGTAAGTAGACAAATGTTTGCAAACAGAATTATAGTCTAGAATGTATTTGGTATTTTTTTCAATAAAAAAGAATTGGACACACGGTATACGTCAATACTGGCGTGTTTCAGGTACATTTTGCACTTTGGACATTTGCATATCGCGGTTGGAAGATACTGGAACTGTAGATGTACGAGGAACTGTTGAGAAGATCAGAGCACAGAGGGCCTACAGTATTCAAATGCCGGATCAGTACTACTTTTGCCATGTTGCTCTAGTGGAATATGCATGTTCTAAAGGACTGCTTAGCACACAAAACGCCTCTGTGCTCCCTTTATTGGTTGAAGAGGATTCCGATTAAGAAAATAAGAGTTCTGCTATCGTATATCGGATTGATGTTCTTCCCAAGTATGCGTATATATGATATTCTTGAAATAGCCTATTTCTATCTTAAACGACTGAAAGTTATTTTTTGCATTGATGTAACAATTCAAGTTCTCGCTGTTACATCCCATACTTTATACAAAATTGATTTTTTCTCAAAGTCAAATATAAGCGACCAGGAAACTTCACATTCCTGTTTCTCCTGTCGTGCTTTAACAAATATAATTATATACAATTGTATAATTCTATATAATTATATACAAAAGTGCATCAAAAAGTACTAATCACAAAGATAAGTATTTTATTAGTAAAATAAGAATCTGGCATGTAAACAATTCTGTATATTTTAACTCTCTCAGATATAAGTTATTATCATATCATAAGGTTATAATTTATTTCTAAATCTTTACTCAAATTTAGAAAATTTAATTATAGTTTTAATCGGACAATTAAGAGATTATATGTAATTATCACAGTTTAATGTTTTAATTTAGTATATCTGTAATTTAATGTGAATCACTGATTATCTCTATAACAATTGTGTATAGGTTTAATTTATATTAATTGATTGTACTTTATTCAAAATTTTATGTTTTCCTATTTTAACAAGTTTAATATACTTGACATAAATACAATCGAATTAAAGTGCTTGATGCACACTACTTTGGTACAAAAAGGTGTATGATATAAATTAGGCCATAGAAATATTCTTGCGAAATTATAAGTAAATTTATTTGAGAGAGTTAAATTCAATCATGCTAAAATTGAAGAAACCGAGAGATATAGAACTTTAAAAATATATGAAAAATATAAATGTGATTATATACATATATTATATAAATATTACATAGTTCACAAATTATGACAAATGTGGTTTAACAGTGGCCAAAATATAGCCACAATTATTTAAAATTACGAGATTTAGGGATTAACTTAATAATAACATACGGCTTCTGCCTTACAGAAATATAGATTACACTAGAAAATAAACAACATACTGATAGATGTTTTTGGTAACCAAAGATTATCTGTTACAACATGCAAGTGTAGAAAAATCGAAATTTTAATATGTAAAAAGAACTTTGGTTACATATACAATCGCGCGGGAAAAATTCCGTTTTACAGGGATTATTAATCAGGGATCATATTGTAGACTAAACAATTTCCGACGCGACTAAAAAGAAAGCCTAAATAATGCAAGGCTTTAAAAGTTAAATTAAGTCTTTACGTTAATCGAATAAACTTCCAATTCATCTGACAATTAACATATGTTCCATTACGAAATTATAACGATCAAAGATCATATATACTTGCGAGCATCAAACGTTTAATGACACTTTAAGATTTAAGTATAAACTAAAATCTCAATATTATACGCAATGAGTATGCAAAATTTTACCTTCAACGGATATTATAACGTGATGATAATGATGAGAAGGAACATAATTAAATACAGAAAAATGTAGGCTCGTTATACGTAGAAACGATGAACTTACGCGATGTTTAAATACTGATTTTATACATAACTGTAAAACGAGTAATCTTCAGATCATAAAAATGTCTCATATTTCCAGGGTATTGCGAGATGTGTATCTTTGGTTCTATACGATATTTATTCTAGTAAAATAAGCAGTAAGATGTAATGAGAGAATTTCGAATAATGCTGCTTTCGATATCTCTTGATTGTTGTTTTACACTTCCCAGTTTTGTTATTACATTTGCTAAGAATTTGTGTACATGTAACCTTGAATATGTTAAAACGCGCTCAGTGTCCGATCTGTCTTGTATCCAATAAGTATTCGAATCGTTTATCCGTTGAATGTATTCGACAACCTGGTGTAAGGAAATTGCGATACGTATAAGACGAGTTGTTTCTTGCACATGCTGGTCACTCGGTGTCTCGTGAATTCCCAAGTAAAACAGAAAAGTTAAAATGATGTCAATTTGACGTCAGATCGATCAAATTTGGACTTTTTTATTCTACTTGGGTTACAAATTTGATCGTGGGCTATTATGATATTAGTATCGTGAAGCATTGTGATAGTCGATAGAAGTATCCGAGAATTCGTATCTCTATTCTTCCAAGTACTGCCATTGCCAACTACGCTAATTTCTATTTTTAATCACGCTGAATAGCTACATTTTCGCGGTATAATCACGGTGCGGCCGCGCGCGTGTGTATATGTGTAGATATATATATATGTATACATAATCTATATATATACATATATATATATACTAACTATAATATAATATAATTTATTAACATTGAATTAGAACATGATGTGTGTAATAAAGTAACGGCGGGATATACTTTACTAAAAAAAAGGTATACATTTCATACATATGCAAAGGTGTCTAAATTTCTGTCTTAGCACATTATTGTGAAAGAGTTTGAATGAAAAATTCTTTTTTGCTATAACATTTTGTTATATATATATAATTATATATATATATATATATAATATATATATATATATAAATGAATTTTTCAACACTCTAAAAAGCTTTCTCAAATATTTTATTTTAGCAGAATGATAACTAGCCAACTTAAAAAGATGTCTTCGAATTTTGTACGAGATGTATATGCTGTTGTACCGCAAAAAAAAAAAAGAAAGCTTAGTCACGTTTAAATAAGTTATCGAAATTTGAATTTAATATATAGGGTTATTTAAAATCATTTATCCGATTGCAACTATATTTTTGAAGTTTACAGATACAGCGATTAGTGATACATTAAAAGAAAATTTCAAGTTTTGTCTCTTACTTTACAAGTGTTTGATATGACTTCCCTTAATTACTAAGCAATGTTAAGTCAAATTTCTTCTTTAATTTAACATATATCTGTTTTCGCCGACCGATTAAGTGTTTTAGGCAACAATGACACGTATTTTTAACATATTCCCAACAAAAAAGTGATATTCTATGATTTGGTGTTCTGCAATTGGCCCTCTCACCGGATCTTACGTGAGGAACGAGTGCGGCCGGTTACCCATTTTTTCTTTTGAGGATGCTGTTTATGTATCTGTTGCCCACAATTCTGAATGAGCTCAAAAAATTGTTACAGCTGAATTTAATTATCGTCCCAACATTGTTCGTATAATTAAGGAAAGTCGCATCAAGCAGTTTATAATTTATAAGATGAAAGACAAAACTTGGACACTTTATTTTATTACTACGTATATATAAACTTCAAAAATACATTTAAATCGGAAAAATGATATTAAATAACTCTGTGTGTGTATATATATATATATATATATATATTATATATATATATATACACATACATACATACATACATACATACATACATACATACATACATATATACATATATATATATATATATATATATACTATATATACATATACTTATGTATATGTGCACAAAATATATGTATGTAATGTGTTATTTATACATACATATATGAATATATAAATAAATATACATTTACATATACATTGCATATATATATATATATATAATATAAATATAAATATATATATATATATATATATGTATTATATATAGCATATATGTATTTTATATATATATATATATATATATATGTTCCTCCTATCCTTAGGTTACCTACAAAGGGCATGTTATCGATATTAATTATCGTTTACTGCGTTATTACGTTTATGTATTTTATCTATTGCATTATTTCCTTTTCTATTGTCTAGCTATTTATTGTATTGATTAGCTTGATGGTATATATATATATATATATATATATATATATATATGTACATGTTATCATGGATTTCTCACAAATCTCTTAAAGGTGACATTCTGTATTTAGCAATTCTTTCTTTTTTACCGTGGAAAAATGAATATCTTATTTGGCGATTTAGATTGTTTCGATTAAGTGTGAATGTAAAGTGCGATTTTATAGTTACTTTCTGTAGTGCGCCTCCTTCGCATCGTACATATTTTATAATGTTTAAATTAAGCACCCGTCAATAAAATATCATCGGAATGGGTATCAAAGTTTTTCGTACGAATCACGGAGGGAATAATTATGGAAAGTAACGATATATTTATACCGTGAACGAGTTACATTATTAATTATTATATATGGTGAGCTTTGTAATTGAAAGTAGATAGTTTAAAATAATAGATTCAACAGTATTATAAGAGCCTGATTAAACATTTTCTTTTTCACTAAATCGACAGGTTTGAGTATTTATCGTTCATCTTTTTCAATTTTTGAGTACATACAAAATGATAATCTCATCGACACACAGTATGATAATTATAAATACATATAGTTCTCGTTAAAATCCAAATTAAAATTTATCAGAGAAGAGGAAAATATATATAGAAATACAGATCATGTGTATATTATATGTAAAAAATAATAGACAAAATGGACTGTAACTGCCAAACTCTCATATTTTCAATACGTTTTAAATGCGAGCAACTTTTACGTGCGAATTTACGCTATTGTTACGTCTTGCGATTAATTTCGGATTATTTTGCATTCGCTATGTATTCTTAGATCTTGAAGATTTCCTCACCGATGCTCCACACATCTCTTTATATTGAGATATCGATGGACAGGATTAAATAATGACTAATTATTCAGCGTTGTATGCGCAATAGTCGCCCACTTTTGTATGATTAATGCGAGATTGTGTGTGAGGGGAGTGATACACAAAGCGAAAAAATTAAGCTACAATAGAGGAAACTAATGTTTTATTGTATATCTGGTGCATCTCGTGCAAACCCGTGTCATAATAATTAAGACTCTCATAATAATGATAAAATTGTTAAAATAATACGAAAATGGAAAAGTCAAGCAAAGAGAGAAGAAACAAAAGAAAAAATGTATATAGAAATGATATGACTTTAAATTACTATATCGCACATGATTGTATCTAATTAATAATTATTTAATATATTGCAAATATAAATGGTACAAAACTTTGGCGTTTTTTTGGAATCGTGTTTCTATGGTTTAATAAGAATATATTAAATGTATAAATATGTGTTAGTTTATATATATAAATGTTAAATAAGCAATTTATTTGGAATTTTTATTTTTGTTTCTAACAAAAAATGGAAATATAAATGTATATATAATTAAATTACATAATAATAATTATATAATTTAATTAATTGCACAATTTTCAATATATCAAGATTATATATTAATTATTTGATGTTATTCATTGATATCAAAATTATAT